GAAGACTCAGCCTGTCCACTTTGGGAACTCATTAAAGTGGCCAGTGTGACAGATGGGAGCCTGGGGTAGCGCTGGCAGGAACGAACATTCCCTTCTCCTCTCTTGGACCTGGTTTGAGGCCAGCCCCTTGGACAGCTTCATGCTGCCTAATGTGGTTTGAAGTACACTCACTCCTTGATAACAGCGACTCACTGTACATCCACCAGGGGTTTGTTTATAGGGGGCTAGTGGGTTTAATGGAGGCTTTAAAAAAGACGTCCATGTCCTGGTTTAATAGTGGCTTTCAAAATATATCTCTGTGTCCTGACCTTTGTAAACCTGTGAATGTGACCTTATTTGGGAAAAGAGTCTTTGTAGATGTGATTAAGGATCTCGAGACGAGATCGTTCTGGACTTAGGGGGAGCTCTAAATCTAGTGACCACTGTCCTTATAAGAAGAAAAAGGCAGAGGGAAAGTCGGGTCTCAGACACATGGAGGGAAGAAGGCCATGTGACCTTGAAGACAGACGTTGGTTGGAGAGATGCAGTCAGGAGACACCAGAAGTTGGAGAGGTGAGGAGGGTTCCCTCCTGGAGCCCCTGGAGGGGCGTGGCCCTAAGGCAACGTCTTTGTAGAGTTCTGGCCCCAGAACTTGAGTGATTAAATGTCTGTTGCTTTAAGCCAGCAAGTGTGTGGTCATTTTTTTAGGAGACTAACAGAGGGGTGTGAGTATGTTTTCCCTGCAAGTTCTCAGGAAAAGGGACAGAGAAAACTCACACCCAATATTCTCAATATGCGAGTCGGTAGGGCTCACTCCCGCAGGTCTACGCCCAAAATGGGAGGCTGTGTAGTGGCTGTTACCTTCCCATTGCATTTGGTCCTCACTGCAGTCTAGTCCTTTGTGTTAAAGCGCACTGCATAACCAGACATGCTCAGTCTGAAAAAAAAAATTTTTTTCCTGTTTTCCTTTTCAACCTCTGGATTTCAACATTCTTTCAAGTCCATTCACCCACAATGTCTGAAACCCTTTTTTATTTTACATGTTATCTTTAAAAATTACTATTAACACACAGGTATTCCTACATGACAATTTTTGGGCATTTGTATATATACGCACGCTACAGAATGATTAATTGAGCGTTGTATGTTTTTATCAAAGGAAACAACACAAAGATTTCTCCAAAGTCCTGTTTGACTAAAGATGATTAATTTTAATTTTCACATGAGCAGCATAATGCTATTAATCATTTAATATGTTTAATCATAATCTCTGTAATTCCTAATTACGTTTATTAAGCTGAAACATCCAGCAGTTATGCACAAATCCAAATCTAAGTTTCCTTCTTGGTAGGAGGCTATGGGAAGGAGCTCGTTGCAATTTGCATTTGAACAGCAACTTCTAACAGGAGGGAAAAAGTGGACAGGGTGTTTCAGTCTCAGCTGTCGCCTCTGAAAACTTAAGAGTACTAAGATCCTTGGCCACTCTGAAAAGTGACAATCCCATGATTCAAGGACATGTTCACCTCGTGGGCATGTAACCAAATCTCACCACCGGAAGAGAAAACATGGATCCTGTTTTTGTTTGGGTATCAATATTTTTCTTCCATGATTACTTGAAGGTGGCGAGGTTGATGGTTCACTCCTTCATTCTTTGTTTATTCATACACTCATCTTCCATTCACCCCTTCAGTCAGTGAGTCAGTCGCCCATTACACAGGCATTTGCCATGTGTCTGCCGCGGCTCATGTGCTGGTCATGTCACCCTGCTATGATGTTTACGTGGCTCCTCAGAGCTTGTAGGGTGAAGTGTATACTCTTGCTCACAGGGTCATCCATGATCCAGCCTCTACCTGTCTCTGCAGTGTGCTCTCCTGTGCCTCCTTCATACCTACCCCCTCTGGCCAGGGCCAGTGAGTTCCACACGTACTTCCTGAATCTCTGTGTCTTTGCATAAGCCAGTGGTTCTCAACCTTCCTAACACCGCTACCCTTTAATACAGTTCCTCATGTTGTGGTGACCCCCAACCATAAAATTATTTTCCTTTCTACTCCATAACTGTAATTTTGTTACTGTTATGAATTGTAATGTAAATATCTGATATGCAAGATGTATTTTCATTGTTTCAAATTAATTATATATGTGTTTCCCGATGGTCTTAAGCGACCCCTGTGAAAGGGTCGTTCAACCCCCAAAGGGGTCGCGATCCACAGGCTGAGAACCGCTGGCATAAGCTTTGCCGCCTGCTGTCACAGGGCCAGTCCCTGTCACCTCTTCTCTTAGGTATCCCCCACTTCAGACTTACCCTGCAGAACTGGTAGGCCTTGCGGAACCTCCAACAGTGTTGTGTGCCCCTGATTTAAGTTTACTTGGTCTCCTGGGATTTGCTCTCTTCCCAGCATTTAACAGTGATATTACAGATGACGCTTTCTAACTCTTTGTCTAGTACTAAAATGGGAACTGCATTTTAAGACCAACTTCTGTGTCTAGTGTATAGTAGTTGCTCAGTAAAGAGGTGTTTCATAAGCAGATGAGGACCTTTCTTTGTTTCCTGAGAGGGTCTCTTTACATCTCTCATTGGATATTTTTTTAAAATCATCATTCTAAAAAAACGCATTACATTTTATTTATTTATTGACTGTACACCATGAGCCAAGAACTCTGCCAAGCAGGCATAGGTTATTGTGTTCAATCTTCACAGAGCCATTTAAGGTATGTGCTATTCTTACTGTTCATTTTCCAGACTAGAAAACTGTCACCATCCTCCTTCTTACTCACTCCAAAAGCATATGCATAATTGTTGTTGCCATCATAACACTGCACTTGGGAGTGGACAAAGTCATCTGGTAGGGGGCTTTGGATATGAAACCAGCTTGCAAAGTAGTGTGCCAATCACCTTGCAGTCTTGACTTCAAACTGTAATTCAGGATGTGTAGGATGGAGAATAATGAAATAATAAATGAAATCTGCCAGGTAATACAAGAGTTGACAAGAAAGCCACTAATTATGCTCACGTTATTTTGGCATATATCTATTTCACTTTGTAAAATTGTCTTTATTATTTTACAGCTGGCTGCCTGCATTGATAGGTTTTGTCTCAATTATATGCCACTAAATTGCATGTAAGTAGGTGAGGACGATTCTTTGCTCATAATTTGATGAGCTTCCACATAGGTTTTTCCATCTTGGCCTCAGAGAAGCAGGTATCTGATGTGGATGGCACCTACTGCCACCTGCAGGCAGTATGTGCTAATTGCAGGGAAAGTATCTAAAAATGAAGCACCTCTGAAATGTTGAAACTCTAGAACTCAGAGGATGGGCATGGCTACAATGATACCAAATGTTACTGTGACTTTTCTCCTAAGTTCCTGTTTATATAAGGGTGTCAGTGCAATAGCATGTGATGCAGGCTTTTATTTGGGAGGGGTGAAATGGGAGGCAGGTGAGCTATGCTAATAATGTGACATTGTCCACACCAACTTACTGCAACAGAACGTTCTGCAGTGATGGAGCGGTTCTGTGTCTGCTTGCCCCATATGGAAGCCACTAGCCACATATGGTTACTGAGCACTTGAAATGTGGCTAGTGTGACTGAGGAGCTGAATTTTAGATTGTATTTAATTTGTTTACATTTAAATCATTATATGGGGTAAACTAGAATGGACAGCACTACCTACACAATCAAGAAACAAAAGTTCAAACCATAAAGTAAAATAAAATAATTTAAGTCAATCAGATAGCTATTTGGACTGCAGAATACCAAACGGCCTTTTCAAATGTTTTAGTATATATACTAATATTTTATCTGCACAACCCCAACAGTTATGTAGCTGTACCCTAAGATTTTGAACAGCCTTGAGTAAGGGATCCACCGTTCCCTACCTTTATGAGTCCTATCCCCTTCCCGATGACACTTTTCTCTGACGGCCAGTTAAAATTCCCCACCCAGCCCCAGCACCAGCTAGCCCATTCCTTTGCTATATTTTCTCCTTTAGTGCTTTTCTCCTTTTGTCGGCTCCATATTTATTTTTATTTATTTATTTATTTATTTATTATTTATTTTTTTCTGTTGGTAATCCTCACCCAAGGATATTTTCCCATTGATTTTTAGAGAGAGTGGAAAGGAGGGGGAGAGACACATAGAGAGAAACATTGATGTGAAAAAGACACATGATTGGTTGCCTCCCACACACGCCTGGACCAGGGCCAGGGGTCCAGCCTGCAACCGAGGCACGTGCCCCTGACCCCTGAAGGAGTTGAACCCTAGACTCTTCAGTCCTTGGGCCGACACTCTATCCACCGAGCCAAACCAGCTCTGGCCCATATTTATTTATTAATGCGGCAGTATCCCCCCGGGGAAATATGCTCCGTGGGGACAGGGGTGGTTGCTTTGCTCACTGTTAAAAAACCCCCACCTCTAGGTCCATGATGGGCACTCAGAGTTCAGTAAACGTTTGTTGCAAGAATGAAAACCACTCAGCAGTTCCTTCCTGCCTTTATCCCTTTGCTCTGGCATTTTCCTCCCATGTAGGGGATGCAAAAGCATCCTGGGAAAGAGCATTTGGGTCCACTCAGAGCCTCTTTGCTTTGCTCTCATTCTTTTAGCAGACAGATGACGCAGCGCCGACGGATGGCCAGCCCCAGACACAACCTTCTGAAAATACAGAAAACAAGTCCCAGCCCAAGCGCCTGCACGTCTCCAACATCCCTTTCCGCTTCCGCGACCCGGACCTCCGACAAATGTTTGGCGTAAGTACCGCCTTTCTCCCCTGCAGTGCCTGCTCAGGGGCCAGAGCCCTGCCCTCCATGTAAGTTCTTGCTATTTATAATACGACGTGAGACGTTTAAAAGGGAGGATTTTAGGTCCTATTTTGTGGGTATATGGTGGTTAGGCTCTTTCCATGATTTTATTATAAAGTTATTTGCCAGTGTCCACCATGTTTCCATTTTGCCAAATTGTTTCTTTCTAATTAGTAACTGAAATATCAAATGGAAAATTAACTCTCAGATAATACCCTGCTGAAACAAGCCCATTAGTGATCCCAAATTTAGGGGCCCAAACCCTATGTCATGGCTAAAAAATAAACATCATGTTTCATCTTGGTTCTTCTCTCGAAGGCAGTTGCCAGATTGTCATGACGAATTCAGGCACACCTCACCCTTTCCCAGGCACTGTGCATTGAGAGGCCTGATGAAGCTGTAGAGAATATTCAGTTCTAATGCTTCGTTAAAAGACAAAACAGAACAAAAGCTAGAGGCTTCTCAGTCTGCCTTACATCCTGCAGCGCGCACCCTCCTGGAACCCGTGGTGAGGGTTCAGAGATCCCTATTGTGGTGATGGATGCGCCAATGACCGCATGGCCCTGCACGATGGTGAAATGCAGACAGAAGTCACACCCACCCAGAGAAAAGAAATGATAGGGCTGCTTCCTCGCAGGGCATCATGACCCGGACAGTATTTCTGGACAATATCTGCCCTGCCCACCTTGGGAATGGATGAACTTGGCATTTCCTTGGGCTCAGTCTCGCCAAAGGACAAAGCTACCGTGGGCTTGGATACTATTCAAGCCCGACCCGAATGCCTAGTTCTGGGCATAGTAGCTCTTATTGCCCATGTGGGAAGGGAGCTCTGGCTCACGGTCCTGTGACTGTGGGATTCGCGTGCACCTTTCATCCCTTGAACATGCACGATGTTTATCAAGTGCGCGTCTGACACAGACACGGACCAGGCATCCTAACACTGAAGACACCCAGACTTGAAACCTGACATTTCAGAGGAAAAGGTCAGATCCTGCACTTTCATCTTTCTCATTTGGTAATAACCTTGAGTTGAGCCCTCTCTGACTGTTGCAGAGCAGAGATACCCTCGGGCACTTTCGGGTCAAAGATGACTTTGAAAAGTGCAGAGCATTCAACGTGAAAGTGGAGGTTAAGTGTGTAAAGCAGCCAGGCCAGGTCTGAGTGACGGGAAGCCAGGGGCATCAGATTCCTTTCGCCACAGCAGGTGAGGAAGCCGTCTTGCTCTTCGGCCCATCATTACTCATCAGGTGTCACTGGGATGTCGGCTTTGAACTCGGTCCTCTGGGTGGCCATCCGGTGCTCCCTCATATGGGGTCACTCATTGCAGCACACCCAATTCCCACCCCCTGAAGGTGCTCTTTACTCCATAGTCTTCTTGGTTATCTTGAAAATTCCTGGAGAGGACACTGCTAAGTTGGAGAGTCAGTCACAATACCCACAGCTAGAACTCCCGAAGAAGGGATCCTGTGTGTGTGTGAATATTTGAACCTCTTACCCTTACAGGGTTAGTAGGGCAGGTGGCATGGAGCAAAGTCTTGGTGTATTCATTTATTAACTTATAAACCAAAAGATCCATCATACTACCAGTTGTCAAAACTTGATGGAAATCGACTGGTTTCATAGCCACTTTTTGTAAAAGTCAACATTGTCAAGCAACTAGCAAGATGTCAATCTGACAAGATGATAGATACACTTACTGTTTATGCATTAAGAAAACACAGCGTACGTTCAGTAATATTAAAATGCATTTTGCTTATCACACACAGCATCTGTGTCCATTTAGGAAAGTAGGCAAGATTTTTGTTATGGGATTCATCCATAAAGAATTATTGGGTACATGTGGATTCTGGGACTCTGCTGTAAATCGGAGGCCTCCTTGTTTTACAACCATCATTCTGAAGAAATGGAATTTTAACACTAAAAAAAATACCAACAACAAAAATGTCTATCTTTCCTAGCCAAACGTTGGTGGTGACAAATCTATTCCATTTATCTGATACATTTAGTGGCATGAATCCCTTTGGAAGGCATCTGAAACATTCTGATTGGCTTCCCAATTTTGATCCCAGTTTGGTATTTTCCAGGGCACATGGACATGAGACACCTTCTCTCCTTTCAGTGGAATATTTTGTCTTTGTACCTTCACTTTGGCAGGAGCTACAGTGTGGGTAATGATGAAGGAAAACTCTCACAAGGCCCCTGAGCTTCTCTCCCTTGTCTCTTCTCCTCAGTGTGGCCAGGGGAGATTCAGACTCCAAACACAACAAGACCAAAAAGCAGCCTCCTTTCTCAAACTGCGGACAACCTGGCAATGTTCATAACGACTTCATCATTCAGTCCTGAAGTTTGCAACCGCTGTGGGTCTAATGGTCACCACAAATGTTTTGCATTCTTTTAGTATTATTTTTACTTTGTGGCTCCAGTGCCACCTTATTGCCATTCTGGTCATCTTTTCTTCCACATGCACTTCATATTCTACACTTTCTCCTCTTTTGGAGGCGTGTGTTTCCGTGTTTGTCATGAAGTCTTCTAGCTCATTATAGATGGATTTCCTTTTCTATTTAAGATGGAGCATTCCTGGGCCTAGCTGCTGTGTGGCCACATTATCCAAAGCAGAAGTCCTCTTAAAGCACCAGCAGGGGTGTGAGTGAATGGCTCGAATATGTGATCAGGACCTCCGTTCTAGATGTTTCACTGGAAGGAATCATTGGTCCTGGCCTGGCTCCATTCTTCTTGAGCTCTATCCTCATTTCAGACATCATTCATGAGCCTGTACTTCCTCTACATTGAGTTCTTGATGATCCCATTAAAGAAATGTATGGACTTCCACACATTAATTATAATATCTTGCTCCTGAATATGAAACTTAATTTAACCTAATATTCAAATGTTAAGCATCTCTGGGTTTGGGAAGAGAGAAGTGATTATAATCTATCCAGATCACGATACAACTCATTCCATCGTAGAATTATTTTCAGAAACAGCTGCTCAGTGAGTTCAGGTTTCAGATTTGCACCGGACCCTTGATGTCACAGCCTTGCTTTGGTTATCAAAAGACAGACTCACTTGGGCATGCACACGATCTACTGAAGTCTCTCTTTATGGTCACCGAGAAGCAGATCCCATGACTTTCAGAGCACGCAAAAGCAGCTTTCATGAGCACCTCTGCAGCAATAATATAGAGTGAGAGAGATGTCTGCACTTTCAGTGTTGACAGGAATTCCATCCACTGCGATATTATAAGTAGTGAAGCTGATTTCTTGGGCATGGCAGGGTGCCTCCTCGGTCTGCATTCTAAGCATGAAGCCGACCCCAAGAAAACGCAGAGGATGCCTCGCTTTAGCCTCTCTGTTCACTTGTTGAACTAACCTTTACTTTCATGTTTCATGCTGTATCCATTGACCATCTTGCACAGTTTCTCAGAGAAATATTATTTGATCTGAGAATGTCTACAAATGCCTGCGACAGATTTGCCCACGTGCGTGCCCATAAGTGCCTGGATTTCCTTCTGGATGCAGCCATCCAGGCACCTTGTGTGGATTCCGAGACGTTGTTGAACGCCACCCAACATTGGTGTTGAGCAAACAAATGCTAGTTATGTCTGCGAATGAGTCGTGTCTGTTTAAACTGAAAATGTGCCAGCTGTGTTTACATCATTAGTACCAACTTCCCAATTAAACTGTTGATACTATAAATATAGTACACAACTGTCTCAGCCGTGGAGCTGACATCAGCATTCTTCTCAAGGCTCGTTTCCTTGGCTCTGAGAATCATCAGCCCAAGGGTAGCCGCCAAAGAGGCAACCAGTTGAGACCATTTCGGGGCATATGGTGTCATCGTTTTATTTGGGGAAAGACACGTGCTAAGATACTTCTCCTTTGATTCTTTCTCCAGGAGATCTTATTTTAAGGAAGTGTTTGTGTGTTGACTGCTGAGAGAATGTTCCTTAGCTGTCGTTTGCTTCATGGTTTGGAGAGAAGTTCTTTTCAAGCTTCCCTGTCCATCAATGCAAGTGCTTTCGGGCCCTTCTGACCGAAATACACATAATGGCATCTGTGTGGACCGACTTTTCTAAGTTTAGGTCAAAGTTAGTGCTTCTGAGGCGCTCACCCAGCTGGAGGATTTCTTAGCTATGAGATTAAATTCACCTTTCAATGGCAAACCCTTCGCTTCCAAATCTGAAAGTTTTCTTTTTCTGTTTTTAATGATTTTCTTTGCCCGAATCTAGGGCACTCAGAATGCTCTGTAGAAGAGTATTCTCTTGACCGAATGGCTGAGCGTCCAGAAATGGCAGGGTGAGTTAGCCGCATGCTTCTTGGTGTTCCCGTTATACAGGCAGACCTGGTTTATTGCACTTCGCCACATTGTGCTTTGCAGATAGGGCGTTGTTTTTACAAATTGAAGGTCAGACCCTCCACCAGCAAAAAGATGACGACTTATAGAAGGCTCAGATGATAGCATTTTTTTTTTGCCAATAAAGTATTTTTAGTTAAGATATGTACATTTCTTAGACATAAACACTATTGCACACTTAATAGGCTACAGTATAGTGTAAATGTAACTTTTATATGCACTGGGGAACACAGAAATTTGTGACTTGTGTTATTGCTATGTTTGCTTTATTGCCAAGGTCTGGAACTGGACCTGTACATGCTAGCATCCTTCCATCTCCTCTCTTAGTTGAGCCTTGTCTTCTTGATGCCTTCCTGTCCTTCTATCCTTTGGGAAGTAGAGAAGCACTTATGTTCAACAAGAAAAAATCCACTCTACGATGTCCTTCCTGGGTACATATTCTGAGCAATGGGCATATTTCAAAGGCACAGGATGACATAGCTTTGGGTTCCTTTTTCTTGTAGTAAGAACTATTTTCATTTCAAGGTTTTGAGTTGTTTATATTATATAGGGGAGTGGCCTAGGGTATGCATATGTTTTTCTGTCTTTCCCAGTAAGGTAGGATAGTTTGTATGTTTCAGTGGACAGCCTCTGTATGTTACAAATATTTATTTTTTATTGAATGTTGGTAGGACCCTCTTGACACTCGCTCTCAGGGCCTCCCAGCATCCTATGCGGATGCTTCTGGTCAGGCAGGTTGTCCTCAGTAATCTGTGTTCAGCTGGTTCCTTCCCTGTCTTACTCCTCCCTCCAAACCACTCTGTTCCCTGCTGCATAGAGGCTGCTCCATGCTTTCCACCCAGAGGAGAGACGGAATGCAGAGTCCCCTATGGTAATAAACGATGCAATAAAAACCAAGGCTGCAAAAGCAAGTGGAACAATAGGAATGCTCAAAATAAAGGATGAAGAGATGGAAACCTGACTTTATGGTCTCCTGTTTATTTTTAATAACATGAACATTTGCTCCCCTTCTGCATCAGGGTAAAATTTCCATCTTCTTTTTCCCTGGGCCATGTCGCCTGCTTGTATGCCACCCTCTCCCACCTGCTCTCAAAAGCCGCCCACGCGACTCCATGTGAGTGAAGAAAACTGACAGGATTCCAAGGTCACGGAAAAGGGTTTCGGATCATCAGATGCTTTTGGTGTCAGGGTGCATATTTCTTTTTGTCTTTAAAGTGTGAATCAAGAATTGCTTGACATCTTTCTCATGAGGACTACGAGCTTTAGCAAATGAATAAAAAAAATACAAGATACGCTAGTTGAATTGGAAGTTTAGATAACAAGTATTGCATTAAGAATAAGTGTATCCCCAGTATTATTATTTTCAGGGCATAGTTATTCTGGAAGACTTGAAATTTAAATCTACGTAGGCATCTGGATTATACATGACTGTCCGATTTATTTGCCATCTGAAGTTGTGTTCCTAGACTGGAATACGTGGAATCGCCTTCGCTTTTTATAGAGCACATTC